ACTTTGATAAGCAATGCCAAGAGGAAACTGATTGCCTGATTCTTTGTGAGGGCTATGCAACCAATGTTTTTGCTCTTTTATGGAGTTGATAGTGACTCATTGTAAGCTTCCTTTCCCATTCTGTAGATATTGGAGGAATAAATCTTTCCCCTTGCAATTCTGTACGGATTTCATGGCTACTTTTCATTGGAGAAAATTGGATGTTTCTATTTTGATTTACATAGCATATAAAGATCCTAACACAGGAAAATGGAAGAAAATCAAAAGGAGGAAATGAAAGAAAATCTAGAAGTCTTTGCTTCAAATCTGTAGCATGAAATGGGATTTAAGGAGGAAGTAAAAAAAATGTTTGGAAGAGCTCAGGAAATTGATCTAGTTTTGGCAATTGAAGCTATCAAGAAGGAAGAAAAATATTTCACTATAGGTTTAAACCCTTGATCTTAGTCTCACAATTATGTTTTAAAGTTTGAGTAGATAACAACCCAGCTAAGCCTTTGTTGTATGGTGATTATGATTCTACCTTGTTCAGGACATGGTCTTAACCATTTTTTATCTTGTTGATTATCATTTTTCACTATTTGTCTCCCATGTCATACAATAGAAAGGGTACAAGCAGTGATGGAAGAGGACACCAGAGGGCAAACAATAACTTGGGATGAGATGGTGAAGGAAGAAGCAGCTGGTACTACCCTGGGAGGAGCCAGGAGGGCTTGGAAACAATTTGTTGGAGTCCAGCAAAGGCCATCTGGCAGATGGGTGGCTAAGATCAAAGACACCATACAGAAGATAAGAGTGTGGCTAGGCACCTATGACACTGCTGAGGAAGCAGCCAGGTCTTATGATGAGGCAGGCTGCATCCTCTGTGGTGCCAACACCAGGACCAACTTCTGGCCATGTTCTCCGGCTTCTAATCCTACCCCAGCTCTTCCTTCTAAGATCACTAGCCTCCTTCTCCAAAGGTTGAGAGCCAGAAACAACACCTTTGCTTCCTTGCTAGATTCTTCCTTGATCAACAACCAAGAAATTCAAGGAGAAGAGTAGAAGGATGATGGAGAATCAGGGGATTTGTTTGATACACAATTCACTGATTTTCTCAATGATCTTGAAGATTACAGCATCTCCAATGGCTACTACATCAGTAATACTACTGCAAATGCTTGTGATTACTTGACAACGAGTCTTGAATCATGTTTAACAAAGAAGGCGGATTCTAGTGGGAGAGATTTGGGGTTAGATTATTGCAATTTCAGTGATGCTGCTCAATCTTCCAGGTGTGACGACATTGTTGAAGAAAGACTTGATATGGAAGCACTTGATTTTCATTTTGTGGATGACATTGGATCATCCAGTTATTACTCTGCCTTCAAGATGGCTGAAGAGATTGAAGAGCCAGTGGAGGCAGAGAATTTCTCAAACAAGCCCTCAGTGTTAAGAGCTGCCATGAAGAGAATGAAGTATGAGAGAAAGTTCTCTACTTCTCTTTATGCTTTCAATGGAATACCAGAGCATTTGAGGTTGAGTCTCGAGTTAGAAAATGTCAAGGGTGGAAGAGTAAAAGCTGAACTGTCAATTCAAAGTCTAGAGGACAAGAAAGGAGAAGGAATTGAAAATGAACTGATGGGGAAGAAAGAGGAGGAGAGCCTGGATTCTCCCAGCAGCTCAATGGAAACAGGATCTTCTTCAAGCCATGAAGGTGAATTTTGTCTGTGGAGCTCACTTGATCTTCCAACCATCTGTTAACTGATGAATATAACTGGTATTGCTTCGATTCCCGTGTTAGTTCTGATATTCTGAGAAAGGTTGAGGGAACAATGACATCTTGTCATGTAGTGATGAGTTTATAACCCTGAAATTTGTTCTTTCTTTCATGTTCATGAATCATGAATTTTATGAGCAGTTATTCTAATTTCTGTTACTTTATCAAGATAGATAGAGACTTGGGAAAGCCAACAAAGCATTTGTGTAGTAATCAAAGAACTGGCTGGAGTCAAGAGAGGTTTTGAATTCAATCCTCCAAGAATAGTGTAAAGAAGAACAGGAACTAATTATAAGGCTTCCCAAAAGGAAAAGAGAAAAAAAATTATAAGGTTTTCCTTCAGAAGTCTTGTTAATTTGGTCAAAATTGATATGATTTTGCAAAATACAAATTGCTAGTAGTAAGTTTCGATATAAGATAAAATATCACATTAGTAAAATATATCCTCTCTGTACAAAAGTATAAGTAGAGAATATAATATATTCTGTGTGTGTAAAAGTATAAGCAGAGAATATATGAACCATAAATGAAAGCATAAATAGGACACATAGAAACAAATAAACATCAAAATCTATAAAGAAAAGAAGAAAGAAATATTGTTCTGGTATTTGAAGTACAGAGACGACCGAATTATTGATTAGTAAAAACAACTATTTAAAGCAATACATTCAAAATTCAGACAATAGCCATATCACATATTTGGTAGAAGCAAATAAGTTACAGTCCGACAACATCAACAAACAGCTAGAAGATCAAACTAAACTTAAAAAATCAGTCGAAAACAAAATAAAGTGCAAATGAGATATATCTCATTTTCGTTTACCTTCATAAGAGACATAATTAATATCGTAAGAACAATACCAATGTTAGCTCTTTAGTCTCTATGTAGAAGACACCAAACCGGAGAATATTTACGCTTCCTGTAGCAGTCCCAATGGAATATGTAGGTGCAATCTGGCTCTGTGCATTGAATGGATAGATCATCACTACAAGGCTCCCCACACTCGTTGCATTTAGGAGGATAAAAATCTATCTTCACCAAAGTGACAGGGTGTTCGTGATCATCAATCCGGAATGGTTTCCCGAGCTTGACAAATGGGGATCTCCAAAGCACACAATTAAGATGAGCAGAAACATCGCAATTGGCACAATGATAAAACCACCACTTTGGATCTCTGGTTTCTTCACATATGTCACAATAACATTGACTTA